AAATGTGGGAGACCTGGGTTCGATCCCTGGGTTGGGAAGATCCCCTGGAGGTGGCCATGGCAAACCTGTCCAGTATTCTTGCCTGGAGAATCCCTATGAACAGAGGAGCCTGGCGGGCTACAGTTCATGGGGTCCCAAAGAGTCAGACACAACAGAAAGACTAAGCACAGCCCAACACAGGTCCCTCATGATCACACTAAGGTTAAATGCTTTGGATGTGAATACGACAGAAATGATATTATGTCCTTCTTAGTGCATCATATCAGAGAGCTCATGATCTCCAAATGTCTTACTCTTGGTGATGACAGCACTGATTCTTGGTAAAGGTAGTTGCTCCCAGGTTCTTTATTGTAAAGTAATAGAGGAGTTAGTAAATATCTTGAGGAAGATATTTGGAACAAGTCCTGGCTTCCCTGGTGGCTCAGATGGTAAAGAAGCTGCATGCAATGCGGGAGACCTGCGTTTGATCCCTGGGTCTGGAAGATCCCCTGGAGAAGGAAACGGCAACCATTCCAGTATTCTACCTGGAGAATCCCATGGACAGAGAAGCTACAGCCTGTGGGGTTGCAAAGAGTCGGACACAACCAAGCAACTAACCCTATCACTTTTCAAGTCCTGTCACGTAGTTTGCCAAGTTTTACCCACTGACTTTAACCTCTCTTAGTGGATTTTCTCTCCAGCAAGTGTGACTGTAGTCTTTCATTGATGGTGATTTTCTATTTTCTTTTACATTTATAAATTGGGTTCTACTGTAAGGAAGAGCTAGCATGTTTCAAATAAGGTTTCCACTGTGCAGTATTTTTAAAGATTTTTTAAAATCTTGACTGAATTTGTTCCAATATTGCTTCTGTGTCATGTTTAGATTTTTTGGTGGTGAGGCATGGGGATCTTAGCGCCCCAACCAGGGACTGAACTTGCACTCCCTGCATTGGAAGGTGAAGTCTTAACCACTGGATGGCCAGGGAAGCCCCACTGTGCAGTATTTTTGTTTCATTTGAAGAAAATTACTGTTTGGTCCTACTTGTTTAAATGCAAGTAAAACTTTCAAATTGTTTACCCTACAAATTATTTCATTATTCATACTACTTAAAATAACACACAGTCCCTTAGTCAGTCAGCAAGAGTTGTTTGGATTTACTCATTCATACAGTTATGTAATCATTATTCAACAAATACCTTGAGTACCAATTATATGCCAAATAATGTGATAGATGTAAGGTATAGTTATACACCCTAATGTTACTCTTATTTTGGTATGAAGTTATACTGATGAAATTTAGTATATTGGAAATTTAGCAGAGAAATGTCTTCAAACCTTGACCATAAGTGAAGGATCTTTGATAAGTGGGGTTCAGTAGTGGACTCTCAAGTAAAGAGTTCAGATCTCTCATTCCAGAACCACATGAATGCTCTAGAGATGTTCTGATACTTTCCTGGAACTGAATATATTTATACAAATGGACCATTTTGGTTTGTATCTGCCATATGGAAATTAAAAAAAAAAAAAAAACAAAAAACCTAGTTACTTAGTTGGCTGCACCGAATCTTAGTTTCGACACCTGGGATCTTTAGCTGTGGCATGTGGAATCTAGTGTTCTGACCAGGGATCAAACCTGGCTCCCTGAATTGGTGGTCTTAGCCACTGGACTACCAGTGAAGTCCCTGCCACATGGAAATTAATGTAATCCATAGTCTCCAAAATTTACAAATAGCTTGTGATGCTTAACAGCATCAAAACAAACAACCCACTTAAAAAATGGGCAGAAGACCTAAATAGACATTTCTCCAAAGAACTACTGAAGTTCATGCACCCCGGAGCTCATGCTCCACAACAAGTGAAGCTTGAGCACTGCAACTAGAGAGCAGCCCCCACTCACAGCTAGAGAAAGCCCACGCACAGTGAGAAAGACCCAGTGCAGCCCCAAGTAGATAAGTAAACAAGTGATTTTTAATAAGTGATTATATCAATAGAAATCTTCTTTAGAAGAACGAACTATAACATCCATTATACATAAAAAAAGAAATAGATTCACACAAATATGGCTATTTGATCTCTGACAAAAGTGCAAAAACAATTCAGTTGACAATAGTCTTTAAAGATGCAACAAAAAATAAAGCCTTGATCTAAACTTCACATCTTACATAATGATTAACTCAAAACAGATTGGTTCTAAAAGTAAACCGTAAAATATAAGACTTTGGGAAGAAAACATAGAAGAAAATCTTTGTGACCTAATGTGATTAAGTGAAGAGTTTTTGTATATGACAGGAAAAACTCAATTCATAAACAGAAAAAAATGAACGTCATCAAAATTAAATGCCTTTGCTCTGTCAGATTTACTGTCAAGAGAATGAAAAGATAAGCTACAGAGAGAAAATATTTGAAAATCATATATCTAACAAAGGACTTATTCTCAGAATATAAAAAGAATTCTCAAAAACTAACAATAAGAAAAAAAATCCAATTAAAAGATGAACAAAAAACTTGAACAGGCACCTTGCCAAAGGGGATTGGAGGACAGCAAATAAGAACATGAAAAGATGTTCAACTTCATTAGTCATTAGAGAAACGCAAATTACAAACAAAATGAAGGACTCCCCTGGTGGTACAGTGGATAAGTATCTACCTGCCACTGCAGGGGACACAGGTTTGATCCTTGGTCTGGGAAGATTCTGCATGCTGTGGGCAACTAAGCCCATGCGCTCTTGAAGCCCGCACATCTTAGAGCCTGTGCTTTGCAACAAGAGAAGCCACTGCTATGAGGAGCCCACCCACTGCAACTCGAGAGCAGTCCCCACTCACTGTAACTAGAGAAAGTCCATGCACAGAAACAAAGACCCAGCACAGCCAAAAATAATCAATTAATTAGAAAATCTTTACTCTTTTAAAAAACAAAAATTGGCTGCACTGGGCCTTAGTTGTGGTGTGCAGGCTCAGTAGTTACAGCGTGTGGGCTTAGTCACTCCATGGCATATGGGATCCTAGTTCCCTGATCAGGGATCGAACCCATAATCCCTGCATTGCAAGGTAGATTCTTAACTGCTGAACCACCAGGGAAGTCCCTAAAAAACCTTTAAATAAAAAAAGGTGCAAGGGATCTCTGTAATCTTTTTTTAATTTTTTTTACAAATTAATGTGAATCTATAGTTACCTCAAAATAGAAAGCTTAATTTAAAGATACTGACAATATCAAGTGCTAACAAGGGTGTGGAGGAACTAGAATTCTCATATATTGCTGGTGGGAATATAAAATGGTAGGTTCAGCCACGCTGCATAAACAGTTAAGTTAAACATACACTTCCCATATAACCAATAATATCACTCCTGAGGTATTTACCTTGGAGAAATGACAATTATGTTCACACAAAAACCTGTACATGAGTGTTCACAGCAACTCTGTGATGGACCCAAACTGGAAACAAAATGTCCATCAATAAATGAATGGATAAACAAACTGTGATATAGTCATGTCATGGAATACTATTCTGCAACAAAAAGGAATAAACTATTGATGCATATAGCAGTTTGCATTGATTTCATAATGCTGAATTAAAGATGCCATCCTTCAGAAGTTACATAGTATATGAGTCCATGTATATGACATTCTGAAAAAGACAGAGCTATGGTGATGGAGAAGAGATCAGTGGTTGCCAGGGGTCAGAGGTTAGCAGACAACGTGACTAAGAAGTGATGGCAGAAGAGAGTTTGGGGGCTGATGGAACTGCTATGTAGCCTGGTTGTGGCAGTGGTTATACAAATTTATACCTGTGTTTTACTTCACAGAACTGTAAGAAACAAGTAAATTTTACTGTCAGATAATTATTTTAAAGGGATCCCTTTCCCCCACTAACAGCCCTTTTGCCAGAGTTGGATTTCAGCTACCATTGGCCCCTTTCCCTTCATTTGTGCTTTACACAACCTGTATGATCACAAATTTCAATCTTGCTTGGTTTGCCCCAAGAAAAGAGAAATAGAAGTGTTTAAAGACTATGCAGGCAATTGTGAACTATTCTGAATAAAGGAGGGGCTTCCCTGGTGGGTCAGCAGTAAAGAATCGGCCTGCAATACAGGAGCCACAGGAGACGTGGGTTCAATCCCTGGATTGGGAAGATGCTCTGTGGGAAGGCAAGGCAACCCACTTCAGTATTCTTGTCTAGAGAATCCCATGGACAGAGGAGCCTGATGGGCTACAGTCCATAGGGTTCCAAAGAGCTGGACATGACAGAAGCAACTTAGCATGCACTGAGTAAAGCGTTAACACAAAATCCTTTCTCTGATAAAGCTGATCTTGGGTTAGCTTTCTAGCTGTTTCTTTGGAAACTTGATAATGGTGGAATGTCAACTGTGTCACCAAGCAATACTAGTTACGGTAAAAAGAACCTGATTAGTATATTCTAGCTGGACCAAGGGTGAATGAAAGACTAATATCTGGTGGGAAGCCCTAACTTTGAGCTTCTCAGAGCACAGTGATACTTGCAACTGGACATGTCACTATGGGACCCCTGGAGGCATCAGCTATGGGAATTACAAGAGATGTTGGTTCCTACTTGGGAAACAGGACTTTTAAAGCCCAGATAGTTCCCCCACCTGTCTGAATGATCTTGTCTTACATTTGAACTGCCACTTGTAAGACCAAAGAGTGGCCCCTAGACTGCTGTGTGTGACTTGCTAAAGAGAAGTTAGCATGCTGAGTTTCTTATTCTTCACCTTTCTAAGTAAAATCAACGCCAAGTGAGATCCATTGGAGTCCTGTGAGTATGAAATGACTAGTTAAGGAAAAAATGACTGTGAGCAGGCATTACAAGAATTCAGAGTTCTAAACTAAACTGAGACTTTTGGAACCACCCTCGACGAGTTAGAAATTTGGCAGGTAAGGAAACAAATGGTAATGATGTGAATGGAAATCACATTTTTTTTCCTATTCATCAAGCACAAGTAACTTGTTTACTCTGGACAAGGGATATATTATCTGTGTGAAAAGCCCTTGTATCTTTCTTACCTTGGGGAATTTGCACAAGGCCAACACTTATTCCAGCAAGTAAGTCTCCAAGAAGCCAATCTTTGAATCGATAGAAACACATCCACTCTAGGAAGGGAAACACTGTAAGCAGGCATCTTCGGAACTTGTGCCATGAGCATCTGCGAGAAAGAACAGACTTAAGTTCTCCAAAGAAAAAGTCCACAGGGCCAAGAAAAGCCACACAAAGTGTTTTATTCTTCCCATAAAACAGAGTTTTTTGTTAATACTGCTGACATTTGGACATATTGGACTGGCTAAGTCTTTGTTGTGAGGCTGTCCTATGCACTGTAGGATGTCTAGCAGCATCTCTGGTCTGTATCTGTTAGATGCCAGCAGCATCCCCTCTCCTAGTCTTAATAACCAAAAATATCTCCAGGCATTGCCAAATATTCCCTGGGGGATAGTATCACCTCCAATCGAGGGTCAGTGCCATACATGATAAGAACTAAGCCTTATAAGGGCTTCCCTGGTGGCACAGTGGTCAAGAATCTGCCTGCCAGTGCAGGAAACATGGGTTCGATTTCTGGGTCAGGAAGATCCCCTGGAGAAGGAAATGGCAACCCATTCCAGTATCCTTCCCTGGGAAATCCCACGGACAGAGGAACCTGGTGGGCTACAGTCCACTGGGTCACAAAAAAGTCAGACATGATTTAGCAACTAAACAACAACAAAAGCCTTGTAAGTCCAGTATACAAATCAGGTGTGCAGTTTTTTAGAATGTTTGAAGAAAATTCAAGCTACCAAAATTTTCCAGTAGAAAAATTGACTTTTATGACTTTCTCTTGGTAAGGACAGTTTTCTGAGATGTGATATTAGTGGATGGCAGGGAATTAACACATTCATATCATTCCTGTATACTAAAATTTTTACCAAGCATTAACTCTACATGGCTTTGACCTGTAATAAAGAATCTGCCAGTAATGCAGGTACAAGAGACTCAGGTTTGATACCTGGGTTGGAAAGATCCCCTGGAGAAGGGAATGGCAACCCACTCCAGTACTCTTACCTGGAGAATTCCATGGACAGAGGAGCTTGGCAGGCTACAGTCCATGAGGTCGCAAAGAGTCAGACATGACTGAGAAACTACCACTTTCACGTTCATGTAGAAATTTATGGAAAATATATAATGTGGAATCTTGTGCTTATGGCATTAGCCATGTAAAGAAAAGGCAATACAATAAGGCCTTATTATCTTTTAGCTCAGTGGATAACAACTGGAGGGCATTTTGTTTCCCAAGGGACACCTGGTAATGTCTGGAGACATTTTTGATTATCACGACTGGCATCTAGTGGGTAGAAGCCAGGGATACCATCAAACATCCCACAGTGTACAGGAAAGCCCTCCATAAGAAATGATTTTATGGTAGAAAATGTCAACGATCCTGAGATTAAGAAAACCTACTTTAACCTTTAGATCATCTAATACAGCAGAATCACTGTAAATCAATCAATCAGTTAATCCATCAACCCATCAGTAAAATCAATACAGTTTTAAATTGCTTTTTGCTTTTTATATCTCAGGATGGGCTAAAAACAAAGAGTATGGAGATTTTTCATGTATGAGCTCTAGCTGAATAACTGGGATTTGACCATAGCAACAAATGTAACTTTGGTGTATGCAAGGCTAAAATGTGTGCTCAGAAAAGAAGAAATTTCAACATGCTTGTGTCTCACAACGATGAGCATTACTGTCCCATAAGGAAGTTAAGGTCAAATAAGTGTGAGTGTCTTTACCAAGGTCACAGTAATACATGTGGGCAGAGCTGGGGCTAGAAACCAGATCTCCTGATTTTTATATCAGTGTTCTATCCACTCTGTTACCACTACAGTTCCTGTTGACAGTGGTCAAATTCTGCTCAGGAGCCAGAAGCAAGACCATAGGTTTTCAGAGAAAGTGCATTAGTAGGTGCTCAGTCGTGTCCAATTCTTTGTGACCCCATAGACTGTAGCCCGCCAGACTCCCCTGTCTATGGGGTTCTCCAGGCAAGAATACTGGAGTGGGCTGCCATTTCCTACTACAAGGATCTTCCTGACCCAGGGATCAAACTTGTGTCTCTTGCACCTTCTGCGTTGGCAGGCAGATTCTTTACCATCGCGCCACCTGGAAAAAGCCCTTGGAAAGAATCCCGTGTTGTGATTCTTATGAGAACCCCTGGGTGATAGGCAGGTGTAGAGAGTGTGCTCTCTCCAATTATGGCTGTCTCTGTGGGTGGCGGGGGGAGCAGACCACGGCATTGGGACAATTTGTTTCGTATCTCGTCCAGTGTTCTTTCCTTTCCATGTGCCACTTGACTGAAGACCTGTCACCCTAGGGAGAGTCATCAAAACTCTTTAGCATGCCAGAAAAAATAAAATGGACTGGGAATAATGAGGACCTAAGATGGATGGGAATCAAGGAAGGAGCTGGGGGAATAGAAATTGAAGTTGGTGAAGGAACAGTATAAGCACTTCAACATGAATCTAGGTCTTAGTTAAGGCATCTTAAAAGTGAGGGATGTGAGAGTTGATGTGAAAGCACAAGGGAGCACTCTAAAAAAAAAAGAGTATTTCAGTTGCTAACCAAAAGGGAAAAAATGAAGGGAGAGATGAAGTTTCCTGAAGAAAGGAAGAGATGAAGTTAAAGATTATAATTTTTTTTTTTTTTTACTATTTGCTAGCTGCTTTACAAATACTCTCTAATCCTCACAATCACCTTGTAAGGTAGGTGCTATTAGCATCCCCATTTTATAGATGAGAATACTGAGGCTCAGCTAGGTTGGATAGCCTACTTAAGGTCACACAGTTGGGAAGGAGCAGGACTGTGATTCAAAACCAGGTAATCTGGCTTCAGACTCTTGCTCTTAGCCACAGCGCTGGGCTACCTTTCAGGTTAAAATTCAGAAATGGACATAACTGTGTGCTTTAGAAGTAAGGAATGAGAACTGTCATAAAAGCCCATGGGAGGCAGTGCAGGTCAGATTTAAATGTTTAAGGATAGGGCAGCTGGAGGGGAATAGGCTGAAACTTCTTTGGTAGTGCCTGTTTATGACGAGGGATAAATTAGGAAAAGGCTATGCTTTCACAGAGCAAAGCCAATGTGGCCCCCAAGTGCTCTCTTTGTCATATGACCTCTGATCCATCCTGGAGCAGGAGAAATGAGAGTTGTGATAGAGGACAGGGAAGGGACATCCAAGATCACAACCTGCAAAAGGCAGGATATGGGCAAAGCAGGAGGCTCATGGAGAGGAAGGTCTGCAACAGGGCTGCGTGGAGGCCTTCCTGTCTTGTCACCCGACACATGCCAACTCTGGGTGAGGAAATCAAGGGATGACAGGGGCTAATAAATGTGCAGTGTGAGTGAGGACAGTTTGAGTAGTTAGGGTTAATATGATGATGCAGGTCACAAGGGGTTTTCAACCTGATGTCTGTAGATGACCAAGGGATCTCTAGAGGAAATTCATGGGAGTATGTGACTTTAGGAAAAATGATATCTCTATTTTCACTAACCTCCTAACGGAAATGTAGTATTTCCTTCAGTTATGAATGTTGACAACAAACCATAGTTGTTATCAGCAGAGTTTTGACTTTGTCACCAACAGAATCACAAATATTTTCACATTACGGTAAAACTGCTGCAGATATCTTAAGATATAATTTATACTCATCATTACTTAGAAATCACAGTTGTTATTAGACCCACAATTATTAAATACCATGATTTTTGTATTTTTTTATATGTTGATAACTATACTTCAACATAACTGGTTTCCTTCATAATGCTATGTATTTTATGCATTTTTAAATATTCTGGCCAAGAGCATTTAATGGGGAAAAGAATGGACTCATCAACATATAGTGCTGGGAAAATGAGATAGCCACTTGGAGAAAAATGAAGTCAGACTCTTACTTTATATCGTATACAAAGTTTACTCAGAATGCATCAAAGATCTAAATTTAAGAACAAAAACTATTAAACTCTTAGAAGAAAACATAGGGGAAAATCTTCATTACCTTGGATTTCACAATAGTTTCTTACATAAGACACCAAAGTCACAAGCAAGAAAAGAAAAAAAATAGATAAATCTAATTTCATTAAAATTAAAACTGTTGCACACCAAAAGACACTATCAACAGGCAACCCACAGAACGGGAGGAAATATTTGCAAATCACATATCTGATAAGGGTTTAATATCCAGAATAAATAAAGAACTCTTACAATTCAACAACAAAAAGAAAAAAAAATTTAGTTTTTAAAAGGGCAAAGGAGTAGACATTTCTCCAAAGAAACATATACAAGAGACCAATAAGCACATGAAAAGAGGCTCATCATATTTAGTTATTCAGTTCAGTTCAGTTCAATCGCTCAGTCATGTCTGACTCTTTGCCACCCCATGAATCAGCACACCAGGCCTCCCTGTCCATCACCAACTCCCAGAGTTAACCCAAACTCATGTCCATCGATCAGTGATGCCATCCAGCCATCTCATCCTCTGTCATCCCCTTCTCCTCCTGCCCCCAATCCCTCCCAGCATCAGGGTCTTTTCCAATGAGTCAACTCTTCACACGAGGTGGCCAAAGTACTGGAGTTTCAGCTTCAACATCAGTCCTTCTAATGAACACCCAGGACTGATTTCCTTTAGGATGGACTGGTTGGATCTCCTTGCAGTCCAAGGGACTCTCAAGAGTCTTCTCCAACACCACAGTTCAAAAGCATCAATTCTTAGGTGCTCAGCTTTCCTCACAGTCCAACTCTCACATCTATACATGACCACTGGAAAAACCATAGACTTGACCAGACGGACTTTGGTGGCAAAGTAATGTCTCTGCTTTTTAATATGCTATCTAGGTTGGTCATAACTTTCCTTCCAAGGAGTAAGCGTCTTTTAATTTCATGGCTGCAATCACCATCTGCAGTGATTTTGGAGTCCCCCAAAATAAAAGTCTGACACTGTTTCCACTGTTTCCCCATCTATTTCCCATGAGGTGATGGGACCAGATGCCATGGTCTTAGTTTTCTGAATGTTGAGCTTTAAGCCAACTTTTTCACTCTCCTCTTTTCACTTTCATCAAGAGGCTTTTTTGTTCCTCTTCACTTTCTGCCATAAGGGTGGTGTCATCTGTAATAATTAGGGAAACGCAAAAAAAAAAAAACCACCCTACAATGTGATACCATTTTACACCTACTAGTATGGCTATAACAATAATTTTTTAGAAAAGGAAAATAACAATTATTGGAGAGGATTTGAAGAAACTGGAATACTTGCTAATGTGAACGGACAATGATGCAGCAACCGTGAAAAAAATTTTCTCAAAAAATTAAACGTAAAATTACCATTTGATCCAACAATTCCCCTCTTAGGTGTATACCTAAAAAAATTACAAGCAGGGACTCAAACAGATACTCCTATGCCAATACTCATGGTGGGATTATTCACGACCGCCAAAAAGTAGAAATAACCCAAGCGTCCATTAATAGATGAATGGATAAACAAAACAAGGCCTATACTTACAATGGAATATCATCAGCCATAAAATGAAATACTGATCCATGCTACAACATTATGCTAGGTGAAATAAACAGAACATGAAAGATTAACACTGAATGACTCCACTTAAATGAAATATCTATAATAGGCAATTCAGAGAGACAGAAAGTAGAAGAGAGGTTACGAGAGACTGGAGGAGGGGGAAATGGGGAGTTATTGCCTAATGGGTACAAAATGTCTGTTTGCAGTGATGAAAAGGTTTTGGAAATAGATAGCGGTAATGGTTGCACAACATCATGAATGTTATTAATACTGCTGATTGGTACACTTTAAAATGGTTAAAATGACCAATTTTATGTTGTATATACTTTACCACAATAAAAAAAGTTAAAAAAATTATTCTGAAAAGAGGTTCATTAGGTCTGATAGATAGCTAAAAGGTTCAAACACAAAAACAGGTTACAAGCCCCTGAACTATAGAACTTACAGAGTTGTTCTGGTATCATTAATTAGTCCACCATGGTTGCTTTTTGTTGTTATTGTTAGGAGACTGGCAATGGTGGTTAATCAAACAATGTATTTATTAAATATCATCCCTGGAAGCTGTGGGGGACAACTAAGGTCTTTATGCCAAGTTTACAATCAAGAAGGTGATACAAGAGACTTCCCTGGTGGTCCAGTGGTTAAGAATCCGCCTGCCAATGCTGGGACATGGGTTCGATCCCTGGTGGGGGAAGATTCCACATGACTCAGAGCAGCTGAATCCATGTACCCCAACTACTGAGCCCAAGAACCGTAGAGCCGGTGCTCCACACCAAGAGAAGCCACCGCAATGAGAAGCCCATGCACCACAATGAGAGAGTAGTCCCCACTGGCTGCAGCTAGAGAAAGCCCTTGTGCCCCAACAAATACCCGGCACAGCCATAAATAAAAAAATAAATAAAAATTTAAAAAGAAGGCGATAGAGGACAAACCACACACACACACACACAAAAAAGAAACCCACAAAAAACAACTGAAGAGAAATTATGCAATAAGCTAGGGGTTCTGATGACAGGAATCCAGAAGAGGAAAACGGAAGTAGGCACCAAAGGCAGCAAGTAGAGTTTTGGGGCTGCCCGCTTGGCTGCGGCTGAATGCACACACGCACCTGCATTGCACTTGGTGACCGACAGTGCTGATGTCGATGTCCATGTTCGCAGAGGAAGTGGTCTTCTTTCTGTGTTCCTGTTGAAAGTTTTCCTCATTGTACACGTCTCGCTTCACATCATATGTGAAAGAACTCTGCCTGTACCTTGAGGCAAAACTCTGGAAGCTCCTGTCTGGTTGCATTGTTCCTGGAAGAGTGGAAAGAAATTGAACAAATGACTTTTTAAAAAAATCTAGATCCTTGACACATGTTTATGGAGATAAAATTTCCATGTAATGGTAACATATCTACAAAACATGGGAAAGAATCTATGGGCAATGCAGGAGACACAGGAGACGCAAGTTCCATCCCTGACTTGGGAAGATGCCCTGGAGGAGGAAATGGCAACCCACTCCAGTATTCTTGCCTGGAAAATCTTATGGACAGAGGAGCCTGGTGGGCTACAGTCCACGGGGTCACAAAGAGTCGGACACGATTGAGGGACTAAGCATACCTACATAAAGCATCACAGTTTTAGAAAACTTTCTCATTTAGTGTATAATTTTATACCTAAAACAACCCTATTAAAAAAGCCAGGTGTACAATGTATGGCAAAAATCACTACAATATTGTAAAGTAATTAGCCTCCAATTAAATAAATTTTTTAAAAAGCCAGGTGTATTTTCTCATTTTCCAAATGGAGAAACCAAAGCTTGAAAGTTTAAACAGCTTTAGTTGTTGAATATTTAGAGGCAGGACTAGAACCCAAATGTCCGGCTAGAAGGCCTAGTTTTCTTCATAATGTTTTTCTGTTGCAGGGAAAAGATTAAGAGGCAAAGTATAACCACTAATTTTCACTGAAACTACTAAAGGTTAAGGGCTCAACATGGGGTTTTCTAACTCCTTTTTTTATCTAAAATAGCATCCATCATTATCCCTTTATCTTTTTCTCTTCACAAAACTTAATAGTGCCTGACTCAGTATTTGTCTGTTCATTGTTTGATTCCCACACTAAAATATAATTCCAAGAGGCAGGACTTTATTCCAGGGCCCCAAATACTGTGTGACATTTAGTAGGCCCTCAACAAATTTTTTTGAATGATGGTCGAGTATCTAGTTAGTGGCGTTATAATGCAGCAGAAAAAGCATGGCACAGGATATTAGGATTCTGGAGTTCTAGCTCTGGTTTTGTTTTTTTTTTTAACAACTAGCTCTATGACTGGGGGCAAGTTTCTTAGAAACTGAGTTTCAGTTTTCCGGTCCATAAAATGACATGGTTTGACCATATGATCTCTAAGGGTCATGAAAAGTGAAAGACAGTGAAGTCACTCAGTTGTGTCCAACTCTCTGCGACCCCATGGGCTGTAGTCTACCAGGCTCCTCTGTCCACGGGATTTTCCAGGCAAGAGCACTGGAGTGGATTGCCATTTCCTTCTCCAGGAGATCTTCCTGACCCAGGGATCAAACCCAGGTTTCCCTCATTGCAGGCAGATGCTTTACCATCTGAGACACCAGGGAAGCCCCCTAAGGGCTTTAAAGTTAAATCAAACTTTAAAAATATGTACTATCATCTTGCTCTTTTAAAAAGAATGAGAAGAAAGAGTTAATGAGGATAGATATAGTTCCATCTCTTGGAGAAAGTGTAACTGTTCTTGATTGTCCGTGTTTTTTAATAATAAAAAGGTCACACAGCTAATATTCTTCCACATAAATGTAAAAAAGTAGATCTATATTAATCATCAACATCACATACAACATTCATAGAGCACTTAATATACACCAAGCATTGCACTAGATTTTTTCATGAGTTATTTCTTTTAATTCCCACAACAATCCTAATACTACTTTTGAAAGTGAAAGTGAAAGTCTCTCAGTCGTGTCTGACTCTTTGCGACCCCATGGACTATAAAGTCCCTGGAATTCTCCAGGCCAGAATACTGGAGTGGGTAACCGTTTCCTTCTCCAGGGGCTCTTCCCAACCGAGGGATTGAACTCAGGTGTCCCGCATTGCAGGTGGATTCTTTACCAGCTGAGCCACAAGGGAAGTCCAAGAATACAGGTGATTAAACTGAGGTTTTGGAAATGTTAGGTAACTCAGCCATAGTTTTATATAATGTATTTTTACTCTCAAAACATAGGGGAGAAGGAATGTACTGTATAACACTATGAACCAATGATCACAAATCCAATAAAGGAGTGAGAGTATAGTTAGGGAACAGAAGAGGATGGAAGAGCTGCTTTACAATGTATTACTTAAGAGAATTAGTACTTGCGTCTTCCAGAAAAAAATAGAACTATACATTAAAACATAGGTAACTTTTTTCCCTTTCTTTACCCCACCCATAGGAATACTGATCCATCCTTCCTTACTTTTCCTATGTAATCTTACAATAAACGTCCATGACTAGAATCTATCTGTTCCTGGCAACTAAAAGAGCCTAATTAACCTGCTTATTATATTGAGATTATAAAAATTGCCATCCTGGGACTTCCCTAGTGGTCCAGTGATAAAGAATCCTCCTGCCAGCACTATTTACAATAGCTAGGACATGGAAGTAACCTAGATGCCCATCGATGGATAAGTGGATAAAGAAGTTGTGGTACATATACACAATGGAATATTACTCAGCTATAAAAAGGAACACATTCAAGTCAGTTCTAATGAGGTGGATGAACCTGGAGCCTATTATACAGAGTGAAGTAAGTCAGAAAGAGAAAGACAAATACTATATATATTAATGCAAATACATGGAATCTAGAAAGATGGTGCCATAATACTATTTGCAGGGCAGCAATGGAGACACAGACATAAAGAACAAACTTCTGGACACAGTCGGGGAAGGAGAGGGTGGGATAATTTGAGAGAGTAGCACTGAAATGTGTACGTTACCATATGTAAAACAGATAGCCAGCGGGAATGTGCTGTGTGACAGAGGGAACCCAAAGCTGGTGCTCTGTGACAACCTAGAGGGGTGGGATGGGGAGGGAGGTTCAAGAGGGAGGGAATGTATGTCTACCTGTGGCTGATTCATGTTGATGTGTGGCAGAGACCATCACGATATGGTGGAGTAATTATCCTCCAATTAAAAATAAAATAAAATTTAAAAAGAATCCACCTGCCAATGCAGGGGACATGGGTTCCACCCCTGGTCCGGGAAGATTCCACATGCCGTGGGGCAGCTGGACCTGTGCACCACAACTATTGAGCCTGCATGCCCTAGACCCTGTGCTCTGCAAAAAGAGAAGCGACCACAATGAGAAGCCCGTGCACCGCAACTAGAGAGCAGCCCCTGCTCACCTCAACATGGGTGGCAACGAAGACTCAGTGCAGCCAATAAATAAATAAAAATAAAATGTAAAAACAATTGCCGTCCTGGGTTAGATGGAGAGTCTAGAATCCAGCACTTTGTTTCTGAAATGCCACGAAGCAGGCCACGTATGGACAAGCATAATGGAAACAGTGGGCCAGGCAAAGGTGGCTGAAGCTACTCAGCTCTAGCAATCATTGTCATGGGGGATACGGGGCTCAGGATGGCCAGATCTGATCTTTCCCCAGGGAAGCCATAATTCCAGATTTTTATGTGAAATCTTCTGACTTTGAAATGTTGTCAATCACTGTACATAGTTTTAAAAACACAGTATGCATCTAACAAAACATCTCTGCAGGCCAGATTCAGTCTGACCCAGCAGCATGTGACCTCTGATCCAGAGACTTGTTGTTAAAAAAAACAAAATACTCTCATCTCCTCCCATCACAAATTATAACTTATCCCTCAAGAATTTCTCTCTCTCTCAAAGCTAAAGCATTTATGTTTTCTGTTGTCACACCCTTGGGAGGTATTATATCTCATCAATTGACTTATGGAAAAAAGCATTTCTCCTTATTGTCTTCAACCTACATCATTTGTATTTCAAAATGTAGCCATGTTCTACTAGACTAGGATTTCGTAAGTTTGCCTGCTATAATTTTCACAATCTTATAAATTTCTACCATATGCAATCTTGGCCTTCATTTATTTCTGACTGGAGAATGCTTTTCCACCTGTGGTCAATTAATTTATGGTTATTGCTATTTAGTCGCCAAGTCAAGTCTGACTCTTTTGTGACCCTATGAACTATAGCCCACTGGAATTTTTTTATAGTCCATGGAATTTTTCCAGGCAAGAATACTGGAGTGGGTTGCCATTTCCTTCTCCAGGGGATCTTCCCAATCCAGGGATCAAACCTGTGTCTCTGCACTGGCAGGTGAATTCTTTACCACTGAGCCACCAGGGAAGCCCTGGTCAATTAATTTAGTGTTCCACAAACATTTGCTGAATGCTAGGTGCTCAAAGGATACAAAAGGACAAAGACTCTACAATTTAGTAGAATAAGAATATCAAAATATTGTGCTATCAGAGTTTAGAGGTGCGAAAGGCAGAAATTAACATTTATTGCTGGCCTGCCATAGCCAGTTTCTTCACACACATCATCTCAAAAGATAGGTATTATTTTCCTGATAATAATTATCCTCATTTTACTGGTGACTTTAGTGAGCTCCTCAGTCATACAACCATTAAACAGCAGAGCCAGAATCTGAACCTGGTCTTTCTGATTCTAAAATGGATGCCACATCTAATGCCACCATGATGTCCTATAGAATGAGATTAATAACCCAGCTAGGTGAAGGCCTCTCTGGGGAGATATGGCTAAACTGCTGTGGCTAAACTGGAGGCAGGTAGGAGAATAAGGTATTTCAGGAAGAGAACAGGATAAAATTACAGACATAATTTAAGGCAACTCATTCAACAGGTCTAAGTAAAGTCAGTGTCAAACCCAAAAGGTTGAGGCCTATTTCTGGAGAATCCGGAATACTGGGTTGAACCTGGACTTTTCGGCAAGCTAAAATGTTCAAGAAGCAGTAGTAACATGCACAGACATGCTTTGGGAAGAATCATGTCAGTGGTAGAGTCTAGAGCTGTGCGGACCAGTACAGTAGTCACTGCTACCTGTGAAAACTTAAATTCAACTTAATTAAAATAAAATGAGGGAATTCCTTGGCAGTCCAGTGGTTAGGACTCAGCTGTTTCACTGCTGTAGCCCCGGATTCAATTCCTGGTCAGGAAAACGCGTGGCAATGCCTCACGCTCTGTGGCATGGTCAATGCATAAAATGAAAACTTCAGTTCCTTAGTCACAATAGCTACATTTCAAGGGCTCAATAGCCATGTGTGGTAGGGACTAGCAACTAGACAGGGCAGGTGTTAAACACGTCTATCCTCATAGAAAGTTCTACTGGGTAGCACTGGAGACAGGAGAGACTGAGGCAAAAAGACCAGTCAGAGCCCTTTACTATTATGGTAGTCTGACCGAGAGGCAGTCAAGTCACAACTCAGGGACCACAGTCTGAGTGGCTAGGAGAGGCGGGTGGAAAGCTGTCTTCAAAGGGCTTATCATATAACTGGCTAACGGCAGCAAGGGAAAACATTTTTTAGTTATTGTTTTGTTTCCAGTAGTCATCTCCGGAATTTCCTCAGTTCCATTAGTCTTTCTTGACTTCACAGAAAACCTACTGGCTTGTTTTCTGCACTAACATGACCCTTCCCTTTAAGGTATCATGGTCAGAAGCTATTACTGACAAGTGGCAGACGCACTTTAATGTGGAGAAGATGATGCATTTCAGAAGAAGGTCATCCAAACCACACTGATGGGATAACAACGTTTCAGCTGAGACACAACACAAGAGGGACTGTCTCTTACTGATTCCTAAAATTCCCTGATGCTTCCTACCATCAGACAAAACATTCAGGTGGGTGGGCCATGATCTGAACAACTTAAGGTTTCATTTTCATATTCTACAAATGTGACATAATTTGGGGCATCTCAATTCACTACTAATTAATAGAAATTAATCTCTATAGGCCATACTTGGTCTTACAAACAACAGCATCATCTGGGAACTTGTTGGAAATGCTAATTCTCAGACCCCACCTAACAAGACACAATTAATCAGAAACTCTGAGGATGGACCAGCAGTCTGTTTTAAGAAGCCTTCCAGATGATTCTGGTACACAGTGAAGTATGAAGACCACCGTAAATGTAGCTAATTATCTTTATTCAGTCAGACAATCAGGATTAAATTTGGGGCACTGTTAATATAGGCACTTTTGACCTAGCTCCTTCATCCCCATACTATCCCTATCCATCCAGCCATCCACTGATTCTTTTACATAAGGTGCTAAAAGTATTTTAAAAGCCAAGAGTAAAATATTTAAATACAACCCAATTCAACCCAATTTTCTATTACTCCAATTGATGTGAAATCCTGAAACTTAGTTTCAAGATTATCCTTTCATATGGTCAACTTTCACATGTTGTCTATAATCGTGGGAAAGTAAAATTCACTTTCAGAATTTCAAAATAAATATTTGTAATTCCATCAGAAACAACAGGCCTTTGCCCATTCTAACTATGCTTTTATGGTGGAATGTATGTGGAAAAAGAAAGGCACAAGCAAAGGGCATTGCTTTCAGTACCTTTCGGTCACTTGGTCTAGTGGCTGGGGATCAGAGGACGACCCTCAAGGAGCTGACCTCAAGGAGAGGACGACCCTCAAGGAGCTGACCATCCGACACACTGCCTTTAATGCGACCTGGTGAGAGTATTACCAGTGGGCTGGTTGGAGAGACACTCATTGTTGGGGTGGGGATGCTGGAGAAGGGGTTGCTGCGATCTATCAACAGAACTTGAAAGGAAGAGAAAGGGGCTAAGAGAGGTGGGAGTGGGGGCTCAGTCAGAAGGAACAAGAACAGCAGTGAGGTCTAAAAAGCAGAAGTGGCGCACCTGGGCAGTCAAGCCTCGGGAGGAGGAGGATGGCGGCGGGGTGCGTTGATCAGGGGGAGATTCAGGCAGCAGACCAGTTCTGGGGCTTATGACTTCAGACCAACAAGTGTGGAAGGAGCCTGCCAAACGCACGCGCCGTCTTTCCTCGTGGACTTTCAAAAGCAGCGACCGCACGGAGAGAGAAGCTCCCAGGCACGACCGTCATTCATTCATTCCGCAAACACTGACTGAGTGCCCTCGACGAGCCTGACCCTGCGGTGACAGTGGCCCAGGGACTTCCGAGTGTAACGCGGGGGCTGGGCGGAGTGGTCCCCGCACCTAACGCCGGAGCCCGGGCCCCGCCGCCGCCACCACCGGCAGCCCCGGCCCCGGGCCCCGGGCGGCTCCCCGGGTCCCTCGGCTCACCTGGTTCCCGGGCTGCGGCGGGAGGGCGGGCGCTGGAGCCGGAGGCAGCTTTGGCCGGGCGGGCGGCGCTGTGGACGCGGACGCCGGCGGTTCCCGAGCCGTTGCGGCCGAACCCGCGGGCCTCCTTGATGCCAGGCCTCGCGCGCCGCACTTGGCGTAAGTGATTCACTCTAGGTCTCCCGACGACTCTTGGGGACAGAAGACGCAGGAGGAAACTGGAGGCTAAGACTGTCGCCGAGATCTCCAACCCCGACTGGAGGACGCTCTCCTGCCCAGCTCCTTCCCCAGGACCCCTTAACCTCCTTCGGAAGCTCAGTCCCTGTGACTATCTCTCCCTGCGCCTTGCATTCCCTCTTTGCCCAGTTGCAGTTTTCCACTTGCTTTACTGCAGTAATGTCTAATATATTATTCACTTTACCTATGGCTTTTAAAATATATACTTACGTCTTTATTTAGCCACATCAGGATTTAGTTGCAGCACGTGGACCTTCCATCTTCCTAGCTGCAAGTGGGATCTAGTTCCCCCACCAGGGATCAGCCCAGTCGCTCTACTTCAGGAGCATGGAGTCTGAGCCACTGGACCAACAGGAAGTCCCTACCTATACCTTTTTGTAATCTGTCTCATCCCCAGAAGGGCAGGAGTTTTTATGTCTTTCTTTAATTGCTGTATCATTGGTGCCAAAGCAATGTGGTAGATCTAGTAAGTGCTCGATAAATTTGTGTTGAAGAATTGAATGGTTGCACCACTATTCACTGTAGGCTCTGTGTAGGCAGCCGCTATCTGCCTTTTAACCAATTTTCCATTAGAAGTGCCTGGTACCTAGTAGGCATTCAATATATATTTGCTGAGTGAGTGAGTGTATTGCTCATCTTTACCCTTTTGGTCACTCTCATGTCATCATCCCAATTTGTTGGATAAATACATGAATTTCTTAGAATTCCAGCTTCCAAGTTTTCTCCCTTTTATCCACGCACTCACCTTGATCCCCCACTCTTACCTCTCATATCTTTACAGCTGCATTTTTGCTCTTGCTTCCTTCTTCTACCTCCAATACTTCTTAGAAAGCTCACTATCTGCAGTTTGGCTTGGAACATTTTTAAGCAACATGTGTTCTAAGGCAAGAGAATCTAGGCTGTCACATTGAATCCAAAGAAAGCTTTCCGCAAATCACCCATGACCCTTGTTTTGGGTTTTATTTTTCCTTGAGAACTGATGATCCTGCACTGCCTCCTAAGTTGAGATCATGTTCTTGTTCATAATTTGCTCAACAAATATTTATGGAGTAACTTCTATGTTCGAGGCCCTGAGCTAGATGCTGGGACAAGATAGGCAAAATTTGAGCACTTCAAGGGATGCATAACACAAAAGAGAATAGTCATGGATAGTGATGGGAAATGTCCTGGCTTAACCCAGTTATTTCTAAAAGAAATGACCAAGAATAAGATAGGGTCCAATTCTGCTTATTGTAACAAGTTTTAGGGTAGGAATAGGTTAATAGTGAGGTGAAGGTATGGGGTTATAATACCTTGCCCATTCTCATTTATTATCTTGTTCAGCTTTCAGGTGGGAATGTAGGGCAGCAATTCTTTTTTGCATAAACTGGAACTAAGGTCTAAGAAAGGTCAATTGACTCGCCCAACAGGACACTGCCAGAAAACCACTGTCTGCACTGTTCTTACTCTGAGAGGCATGATTACAATTCTTAAAACCCTCTTTGCTGGAAGTTCTTCAAGGTAGGAATCAGTTTCAAGCCTTCAGGGTAAAGGTTTTAAAATGTTTCTCCAAGGGAGATACCAAGGACTTTTCTGAACCTGGCGCACATTGTAAAAATGCACAGTCTTGGAGTCCCTCTGGGACCCATCTAATCAAACTCGCTGTGCAATTTTAAGCGCCCAAGGTGCTTCTTCTGCACTTAAAAGTTTGAGAACTACTAGAAGTGTTTGGGTGGAAAAACCTCAACCTTAATTCAGGGGTAATATTTACCTTTGGGACAGGTTTCGTCAGCATTCCGAAGAGTAAGCGTATGTCCTTGAGCAGATGGGACAGCAACGGCTTTCTGGCCGGAATCTTTCTCTTTTTTTATGCAAGTACTTCTTGGAAATTGGGGGTTTTCCGCCGAGCAGGTGCTCAGCTGCTAGTGACTACCCACCGTTCAAAGGTCTTCTGGCTCTTTTCCCAGACACCCGATTGATTTGTCACTGTCTCTTTCCAACAGGGGGCAAGCACTTGCCCCGCCGACCACGGTGGGGCGCGCGCGGCCTGTGTCGTCTGTTCTCCGCTCCTTCCCGGGTCCGCCTTCGCGCGCTAAAGGAGAGCAATCCCTAGGAGTTCCTGCCTCTGGGGGCCAGCAGTTGCTCTCTTCTCGCGAGAATTACTTCTCCCTGCGCTCTCCCTTAATCAACCCCCCTCCCCCGGGCAGGTTCCATATTGGGTAAAATCTCGGCTCGAGGAGAGGTCCGGGAGCTGTTCTCGCGAGAGCACGGCGGGAGGCTCCTGTTCGCTGGCTCTGGGAAAGGCGACCACTGGAAGCTCCGCGGGCGCTGCAGCCGGAGCTGTGACCCCGCCGCGCAGCCGGGAGTCCGCCCGGTGTGGAGAGAGTGCAGGGAGAGCTGGGCGGGGCGCCAGCCCAGGGTCCCGGAGCGTGCCCCGGCCCTTAGCAGGGCTTCCCCCGCCGTCGGTGAGGCGCGTCCAGCCGCTGCGGCTGACAGGGGCCGCGCGCGCGCGCGCGCGGGAGTCAGGGTCGCCGCAGCCGCACCTGCGCGGGCGGCCAGCGCAGGGTTCCCCGCCCGGCCGGGCGGGCTACGAGATCAGGGGAAGCGGGTGCGGGTGCAGGCGGGGCCCCGCAAGGGCCACCTCCTCGCCCCGCGGCCACCGCTGGAAGATGTCTCAGGAGAGGCCCACGTTCTACCGGCAGGAGCTGAACAAGACCATCTGGGAGGTGCCCGAGCGTTACCAGAACCTGTCCCCGGTGGGCTCCGGCGCCTATGGCTCCGTGTGGTGAGTGTCACCAGGCCGGGGGCCTCGCTGGGCTGGGTGGCTCCGTATGCCCCAGAGTCAGGCCTGCCCCCACGGCTCAGCAATGCACCCAGCGGCAGGAATTTTCCTTGGGGGGAGGGCATGCCAGCCCTCTTCGCCCCCTGTCCTGCACTCCCTGTCCCCCTTGCACCCCCACCCTGCACGCCCACGTAGATGGTCAGCTGTGTGTAGGACGCAGGTCCACGGTGGGCGGTGGGTCATGGTGTTGGAGCCGGGCCCTGACTCGCACCCTGCGCGTTCCCTTGGCGGGGGTTGGGGTGGGTGCTGCTACGGGGGCAGGAACACGGGTCCCTCTTCGGAGGTCTCCCTGCTGGCATCGAGCAGAAGGACTCTCTCGAGATGTGCTTGCCCTCGGAGCAGACAAACCCGGGGAGCTGCTCGGAGAAGCAGAAGGGCAAAGCTCGACTGCGGTCATCTGAACAAAACTGAAGACGAAGGGCGTTGAGTCCGGGCTTTTTTGCAAACCTCTGTCGAAATTGCATTTTGAGAAGGATTCTTTTTGAATTCGCACTTGAATTAGCAGCTATCCAGGGAGCTTAAAATACCGACTTTATCTCGGTGAGCCCTGTGCCAGCTTGAGTAGTGTGTTTCCGATTCAGTTGAAAGCGTATTTCCTTTTCGCAGAGTGGGGGGTGGTGGTAGTGCCTGCAAACACTGCAGCTTGAGAAGCTGGCGGCCTCGCTGATTAGTCACATACCACTGCTCATTTAAGTATTGTCTGACAAAACAATTTTCTCCTTTGGAGCAAGTGAGGTTCAGATCCGTTGGACGCCCTCAGGATCAAAAAGTTATTAACAATGCTGCGCTGTATTATAAATATTTTTTAATCGTGATAACTCTTGTGAAACAGTTTTTAAAGTCCCTTAGAGGGTTAATCTGCACTACAGAGAACTACTCTGCACACAGAGAACTTAATCTGCACTACAGCCTGAGAGGTACATAATGGTTTTCATGGGATATGGAGTATATAGCCAAGGAAGGAAGAGACACTTTTCAGCTTTAATTCACACTATGAATGTCTTTTCAATTAAACACTACTGTAAAATTTCCAGACCTCAGTCACTAACTTTTCTAACTTCTAAGGTTTTATACACTGTATTTTAGATCTTGTGTAATTTGAGAGCTGATCTGAAGCTATTTCATGTAATTCCTCTCCATGCATTATTTGCAAAGAGGTCTACAAAATTAGTTTTTTGTTGCGGGGCAGATTCCAGGCTTTTAGACTTGTTAATCTTTAAATATAATTCCTGTGTTTCTTAAAGCCCCAGCGTGAATTTCCTGTTTGGTAGAATCTTCTGGGTAATTGAGATTGTGCAATTGTGTCCAGCAACAGATCATATTGCATTTTCTAGTTCAGACTGCTTGAGTGATGTCGCTGATGGCCCTATGCTTGACATCTTTTTTCCATTTTTATAGCGTGCTGTTGATTTGCTAATTTTCGAAGATGTGTTTGGATCATTGCTCCTTTAACAGCTCACTTGTTTACCACCAGTTTTCATTCTGGAATTGACACATTAATTTTTGTGGTACTGAATTTTTGTTTCCAATCATTATTGTTTAAACTTTAGTGGAGCATTATGAGTCAACTGCTTGCAAGGTTTCCCTATAATTGATGTGAATAACTCAGCCCTGGCACTAGAGATCCAGTGAAGTGCTGATAAAACACAAACTCCACATTTTTTAGTGCTTTATCTTTCTGGCTTATAGAAGCCATCAAAACTGACACTTGGAAGTAATTTTGTTAAACAGGTTTTTAAAAGTAGGTAATACATTCACATTGTATAAAATGTAAAAGGCATAGAAAGACAGTGAAAAGTTTCCTTTCTCTTTCTCCAATTGTACTAGTTCTTTTCTCAAGAGACAACCCCTGTTGAGTTTCTTGTTTGTCTTTCTGTGGAGGCAGTTCTGCTAAGGGTATTTAAGTTGTAACCTATAACATATTGGTGGAGAAAAATAACCAATGTTATGTGACAATTGACCATAAACAAGTGTAGTTGATTTTGGATTGAAAATATCAGAATTTACATGCACATGTGTTATCTCACTCAGAGTAGTTATTTCAAGTTGTTCTTTCAGTCAGCAGCTTTCAGGTGTGGCAGAAAAAAAATGTTTTTTAATCTTCTCTTAGAATCCACTTTGGAGCCTGTGTTATTTTTCACTATCTTCATTTTTTTTGAGAGCATATTTGATTTTAGGAAATAACAAGTTAGACTGAATCCAAATAATTTAGAGAATTTGGACTCAAGTCTGGTGAAAAAGATTAGGCAGCCAGGTTGGTGATACTGTTTGAGGTCAAATAGGAGTTGTAACCATAAAGTAATGACACAGAATTTCCTGTGTGACTTGTAGAACTGGATTGAAGTCTGTTCCAAAAAAGAATCTCTGAAAGTATTTCAAGGAATGCAATGTCACTGAAATAATGTGTCAGTTTCCTAATTTGATTGCTCTGAAGTGTGATATACTTTGATGTGTTAACTTTGAAAATTAAAAAATAAAATGAAGCCAATTTTCAGTGTTTTCATTTGTACTAAGTATCTAGTAAAGCAAGTGTGATAACTAATCGTGAATTAAAGATCAAGGAATCAAAATAGAAATTTGAGTATTAGAGTTTTACAAATATGCCTTTCCTTCTTAAGGGGTAAAGGGAACTAAACTGAAGCTTGCAACTTTAAGGAACTTTGTGTGCTGTCAGTGAGGGGAAATGAAGCAAAATTGTTTAAGAGTATGGTGTTGCAAAGCATTGATTTTGTGGTTTGGGGACTAAAGGGGCGGGGGAGGATCTTTGTGGTGAGTTTAAGGAAATATAAACAGGAACTTAAATGCCTTTCCTCTGGTGTATGGGTTTTCCAGACTCTTGCCTTTGGTTATAGGAGGTGGTAACCATAAAACAGGTGAGAGATCAGAATTATTTTTAAACCATATTTAATCACTTATTAAATAATATTTATTGAGTACCAACTATGGACCAGCAACTTAGCATGCACACATCTTTAGGGGCGTCCCAGGTGGTGCTAGTGGTAAAGAACCCGCCTGCCAATGCAGGAGACACAAGTTTGATCCCTGAGTGGGGAAGATCCTGTGGAGGAGGAAATGGTAAACCACTACAATATTCTTGCCTGGAGACTCCCCATGGACAGGAGAGGCTGGTGGGCTACAGTCCATAGGAAAGAGTCGGACATGACTGAATTGATTTTAGCACTCATGGACCAGAGAGCAGGCTAGGTTTCTTGAGCTAGACTGTTCAACAAGACAAAGACAGTTCATTCCCTGCTAGGGTTTATAGTGTGAGGTGAATAATAACTGCATTTTATGGATTGCTTTCTATATTCTGGGCATTGTTCTGTGCTGTTTATATTTATCATCAGTATGTACCAAAACTTTGGTAAAAGAATGGCAAAATTTACTAAGAGGTCAAATCCAACATCCTAAATGCTTTGTGAAAATAAATGTAATAAAGATAAGTGAAGCTAAGTTTTCTAGTATTAATAGCCACTCATCATTTTAAATCTTTTTTAAAAAAAGCATGAGCCAGGGCACAAATCAATAAAAGAATGTCATTATAGAGTGTGCAGAGGTGACTTTACTGACTCCTAATCAGTGAGAGGGGTATGTGTGTGTGTTAGTTGGTTAGTCATGTCTGACTCTTTGCAATCCCATAAACTGTAGCCCATCGGGCCCCTCCGTCCATGGGATTCTCCAGGCGAGAACACTGGAGTGGGTTGCCATTTCCTTCTCCAAAAGGAACTATAGAAAGAAAGAAAGTGAAGTTGCTCAGTTGTGTCCGACTCTTTGCGACCCCATGGACTGTAGCCTACCAGGCTCCTCCATCGATGGAATTTTCCAGGCAAGAGTACTGGAGTTGAGAGGGGTAGCCTTTTATTTTTCTAGTGGGATGGTAAGCCCATGCTGATCTTTCTTTCCATTTGCTCTTCTTTGTAACCAAAAGCAAGGTGATTGGCTGCATGTTACCAGTACCAGCCAATAAATATTTAAACACAATGGCAAAATATTTGTATTGTTGGTATGTAAAGACTTTAAAGAAAGAGTTCGTTTGAATTGGCTATAAAGTCATTGTTTGTAAGATTCCCGTGTTCCACGGGCCTCATTTGAAAATAAGGGCATCCTGAACCTCTCGGCCAGTGTCGTCCCTTGACACTGAGGGCTCCTCTGCCTTCGTTTCCCTCTACTTTAGCCTCAAAGATCTATTAATATCTCACTTTAGTATTAACAAACATGTTTATGGGATTTTATACTTTATAATGTATTTGCATTCAAAGCATTATTCAGTTTTCACTGGCTCTGTGAAGGCTAGCATTAACCTAGGTTTATAGATGAGGAACTGGACTCGTTAAAGGAATGGTATCCAGTACTGCTTTGGATTTGGTTCTGTGATTTCAGTACTTCAGAATCCTCCTTTTCTATGCATTAGGCTGCTAAGACTGTCTGGTGGCGCCTTCCCGGATGCTGTTTGCCTCTCCGCACCCTCCTTTTGAGAAGAAAGGGGTTGCTGGGTCATTTGAAATAGTAGAGCTATGACTAACCAATCCCACCAGTGTAAACCTGGCTAACCTGAGGTAATGACTTATTAAAGTCACATGTCTTCCTCAGAATTGATGGACCAGTTCCCAAAGAATTATCAGTGCACAGTTAATTCCTGAATTTATGAATCCCTTTGGTTTGAAATTCTTCTGTGCACATTTTGGAAAGTTGAGACTATCTGTACATGTTTCTGTTATGTAAGTATAGGATATAAATAGAAATAACTGCTTCTCTAAGCCTTTGAAAATACCTTGGATTTTTGCTCTTGCTGTGAAATTTGGTATTGATTTTTTCCTATCCAAGAGGTATAATTACTGTAGAGCTAAAAAAAAAAAACCAAACAAACAACAAAAAAACACACCTTGTTATGAAGTGGGTTCCCTTGGCTCTGAAACCTAGAAATCTTTTCATGGTTATCAAGT